GATAAGCATAAGTAAACCCAGAAGTGAAGGAATCACATAGATATAAGACATTGGTAGAATTCTATTAGATTCTTCTCTTGATATTTCCCTTTTAGTATGCCGTAACACTGAAAGTAATGACTTCCGATTGAAGATTAGGTCGAAGTTCCTTAAATACATAATTAAATGAATTTTGAATTATGGAAATTTCTTTTGCACTTGCATCAAGATCCAAAAAACACTGGTGGAACTGTAGCTGGAGCTCAGAAAATATATCTTCTGTAAATCTGTGTGGCAATGAAGGTCTCACTTCTTTTTAAACTTCTGACAGCACAGGAAGTTTATAAAGCATCTTGACATTACTGGTGATTCAAATAATGTTAGTGGTCCTGGAATTGACTTTGCCACAGTATAAATTTCACATAAAAGTGCAGTTCTGCCTTGTAATTTAAGGTTGAAATAATTAAGAAACATTATCAAGTCTGAAGCAAAAGCTAACTTTTAAAGTCATTCTGTGTTCAAAATGCTGTCAAGTTATAAAAAAGACAATCTGCACCAACCCCACTTCACCTCCCAGGATATGACTTCACTTCCTGCTGGGTCTCCTTCATCTCCATCTTCCAGACAAAGAGAGGGGAAGTAAGATATGACTTTTCATCTAACTTCACACCTTCCATCTTCTGAGTTGAAGAAGAGGTAAGGCAGCCCAGGTCAGGGCAGGACTACCATCTGCACCAGTATGACTTCCATCTCCCACCCTTGCTCCAGATGATTTCAACCTCCTGCTTCCTCATTTTCCACCCAATATGAATATCTGATTGAACAACGGGGAGCAAGACTTCCATCTCCTGCTGCATAGGTTCAACTTCCATCTCATGCTGTGGGTGTCTCCTGCCTGATCAATAAGTTCCTCTAGGAAAAGGAGAGGTGCTTTCCCCTTAATGATTAACACACTCATACCTGTTTATACTCTAGACATTCCATTGATTTTGAACCCCTATAGATCATTATCTAAACCCCATTCCCCTCCAATCGATTCCTTATTCCCATTCCCCTCAACCCTCCACCTCAAAGTCCCAACCAAATGCTATCCAGCCCACCAATGTGCCCTCTAAAATGCCTGCTCCATAGGTAACAAACTTACCTTCATCTTAAACTTTTAACTCTCCCACTCCTTTTATCTTCTTGCAATCAGTAAGACCCTGGCTCCCCTCTCATGTCACAACCTCTGAGCCACTCCTTCCAGTACTGGCTGAATTTCCACTCATTCCCCTAGGTCACTGGTCAAGGGTAGGGCACTGAAATACTCCTTGCTCCCCACTGCCACTTCCAGGTTCTCCCCCTAGCTCCATTCCATCACTCAGTAACCTGTCTTCTTTTGAGTCTCATAAAATCCACATCTTCCAGTCAATCAAAATCCTGGTAGATGTTGTGTAAAGACTTAAAAGACATATCCCCTTCCTTCTTCAACAAATTCAGTACCTGGCTCACAATCTTTCTCTCCTCCCCAACTACTGTCCTCATACTAGGAGACTTCAATATACATATTAACACTTGAGTTATTGAGTTCCTCAATCTACTTAACTTCCCAAGAAACATTTCTCCACATTACCTCAGCCACACACAAAGATGGTCATACCCTTATTCTTGCCACAATTCACAAATACACCACCTCCAAATTCAAAAATTCTGAAATCCCCTTACCTGACCATAATCTATCAGCTTTCTCCTTTTTTTTCTAGGTATCTTCTACTATTACCTCCCTCTTTTTATAGTTATCTTCTCGGATATGTTCCTTTTCCCATCTTGATCTCCTGGTGAACCAATTCAACTTTTCTTGAGTCCCTGGACCCTTTATCCTATGGCCAATTGTGCCCTGCCAAAACTCAGCCTTGATCATTCCTATCATCCACTGCCTTCTCTCCCACACACACAGTACTAAACAAAAGCAGAGAAAAATCACACAACCATTCTGACTGGGACCACTACAAATTTATTTTACACAACCTCAAGTAGGTCCTCACTGCTGCTAGGCAATCCTACTATACATCCCTTATTACTCACTATTGCATTCTCCACAGCAAGTTTTCCAAACTTTTTCAGTCCTCCTCAAGCCTCCCAAGGCTCTCTCTATTTCCCACCCTCTCAGCTGAGAAATTTGTCTTTATATTTAACAGAAAAAAAAAAAAACTGAAGCCATTTGCCATGGCCTTTTTCCCTATTTTTCCTATCTTTTTCTTCTGATATCAGTCATATGCTTTCTGCCACTATCTCCTTCTTCACTTCTGTCTTACTAGAGGTGGCCTTACTCCATGCCAAGGAAAACTCTTCTACCTAGACAAGCAATCCCATTCCATATCATTTCCTACAAGAGAATGCCTCCTCTGCTATCCCCACTTTCTCAATTAGCTACAATCTCTCCCTGTCTATTGGCTCCTTTCCTGCTGCCTATAAACATGCCCAAGTCTCTCCTGTCTTCAAAAAACTCTCACTTGATTCTTCCATCCCACAAACTACTGTCCTATATTTCTTCTGCCCTTTGTGGCTCAACTCCTTGAGAAAGCCATGTCCAATAGGTGCCACCACTCTTTGTCCTCTCACTCTCTTCTTAACCCCCTACAATCTAGCTTCTGATCTTATCATTCCAACAAAACCATCCTCTCCAAAGTTATCAATGTTCCTAATTGCCAAATCCAGTGGCCTTTTCTCAATACCCATTCTTCTTAACCTCTGTGCAGCCTCTGACACTATCGATCACCCTTTTCCCCTTAATACTGTCTTCTCACTGCGTTTTCAAGACACCTCTCTCCTCATTCTCTTTCTACCTATCAGACCACTCCTTCTCAGTCTCCTTTGCAGGATCTTCATCCAGGTCATGCCCACTAATCTGGGTGTCCTGGAGGGCTCCAACTTGGGCCCTCTTCTCTTTTCTCTCTGTATTACTTTGCTTGATGATGTTGTCAGCTCCCATGGATTCAACTATCATCTCTATGCTGATGATTCTCAAATCTACTTATGCAGCCCAACCTTTCTGCTGACCTCCAGTTTTATATCTCCAACTGCATTTCAGGTATCTCAAATAGGATGTCCATTAAACACCTTAAGTTCAACATGTCCAAAACTAAGCTTATTGTCTTTTCTCCTAAACTATTCCCCCTTCCAAACTTTCCTATTACTATCAAGGCCACCACTATCTTTGAAGTTTCTTAAAACTGAAACTTCAATATCACCCCTTAATAAAAATAATAATAATAATATCTAACATTTCTATAGTGCTTACTATGTACCAGATGCTATGCTAAATGCTTTACAATTATTATCTCATTTGACCCTCATTTGATTCCCACTAACCCTGGGAAGTACATGCTGTTATTATCCTCATTTTACAGATGAGGAAACTGAGACAAACAAGTTAAGTAACTTGCCCAGAGTAATACAGCCAGTAAGTGTCAGAGTCAGATTTGAACAAAGGTCTTCTTGACTCCAGGCCAGGGGCTCTATCCACTGCTCCACCTAGATGCCTCTAAAGCCAATCTGTTGCCTAGACTGTCAATTTCACCTTTGTAACATCTCTCAAATATACCCCCTTTTCTCCTTTGACACTGCCACCACCCAATTATAGATCCTCATTTCCTCATGCCTGGATCTTTGCAATAGCCTGCTGATTGATCTGCTTGCCACAATCTCCACCCTTCATTCCAAACCACGTTCTATTCTGCTGCCAAAGTAATTTCCTAAAGCATAGGTCCAACCATGTTACTCCCTACTCAAAAACTCCAGTGGCTCCCTATCACCTCCAGGATCAGATATAAAATCCTTTATTTGGCATTCAAAGTCCTTCATAAGTTACCCCACATAAACCCATTCTGGTCTTTTTATACCTTATACCACCTCATGCCACCCCTACCCTATCCCACATATTCTATGATCCAATGACACTGGCCTCCTGGCTGTTCCCTGAACAAGCCACTCCATCTCTCTGCTCTGGGCATGTTCTCTGGCTGTCCCCCATGCCTGAAATGCTCTCCCTCCTCATCTCCACTTCCTAGCTTTACTGTTTTCCTTCAAGACCCAACTGAAATCCTACCTACTATAGGAAGCCTGTCCCAACCCCTCTTAATTATTTCCTGTTTATCCTGAATATAGCTTGTTTGTATATGTTTGTTTGCTTATGGTCTCCCACATTAGAGTATGACCTCCTTGAGAGCAAGGACTGTTTTCGCTTCTCTTGTATTCCTAGCATTTAGCACAGTACCTGGCACATAACAGGCAAATAATAAATGCTTGATAACTAACTGAGTGAACTGTGTCACTGATATTTATAGTACTCAAAGCAGCAGTGCAAAGTGGTGACAATGTCATATGTAGTCTGTTACAATTATTCAACTCTGCCTTTGTAATGTAAGCACAGACAATACGTAAACAAACAAACATGCCTGTGTTATGATAAAATTTTATTTGAAAATGTAAAAATCACTCTTAGTTCATGGGTCATACAAAAACAAGCAGCAAGATATAGGTCACAGGTCACAGTTTGCCAACTTCTGGCCTAGGGGAAAGTGCATCAGATTTGACATCAGGAGCCTCTAGGTTCAAATTCCTGCTCTCTACTTACTCAACCTATGTGACCTTCCCTGAAGTCATTCAGGTAGTAAACTCTTAATCTCGCTAAATCAGTTTCCTCTTCTATAGGTAAAACCAGATGACTTCTATCTGGGCTCTCTTCTAACACTAAATCTATGACCTGAGGAGAAAATCCACACATTAATGAAAGCCATGCTTAATTATCTCCTACCCCACTGCATATGATATAAAAATAAGCAAAATAAATTAAAATCTGACAACACTGTGGTCTAAAACACAAATGGAAGAATCTCAAAAATCAAATATCAAAAACTGCATCAAAGCTAAGTGCATCAATAAATGTTTATAACAGAATGACTTTCTGCCACATATATGTACCCTTCAGAAAAGTTGAGAGGGACTTCTTGACCCTAGGTTTAACTACTTCTGATACATACCCAGACTTCAGGTCAGTTATCCTCAAACAGTTTGTAGCATCCAGTCCTACTTTTCCATTTCTGACCACACTGGATATAAATGGAGAAAGCAATGGAGAAATTCTGTTCAAGGCTACTTCAGGGGACATTTTAGCTTAACCTGCAACACCACTCTGCAAGGAAAAATAAAGAAATTTTTGTCAAGCACAGCAAACCTCACATTCTATACAGTTTTTGAGATCCTTGCAAAATACATTCAGTACATTTTCTGATGTTTAAATATCATCTTACACAAAGGCAACACAAAAAAGATAATTTCAATGTATTTGTTCATTGTCTATTTTCTACTACCATGGAAAATTTTACACACAAGGGTATGTAATTAATAATTCCTTTGTATGATAAATAAGTATAGTAAGTATAATTACCACTTTACTGATGAACAAAACCAGGCTCAAAGAGATTAAAGGATTTGTACAAGATCACACAGCTAGTGAGTAACAAGACTATTAGCTAAACCTAGGTCTTCTGACTCTAGGCATCATGCTCCTGCTATCCCATATGGCCCCCTAATCAGCCTGTGTATCAGTGTGAAGATGGCCCACGGTTTTTATTTCACTACCTACCAATTTTGGATCTCTTGGCTATGAAATAGTTTCTTTTATTAGTGAGTAAACACTTAATAGCTCTACACCATAAATTAGCTATATTCACTAAAGGCACTTGTGCTAGGAGTTTGCATTCCAGTGAAAGGAATAAGTCACATAAATGTAATACAACAAAAGCACAAGAAAATAACAGAGTCAAGTATTGCTTTCTACATGAAACTTTTCCTGATGTCCCCCGGTCTCAAATACTTTCCCTCCCAAATTTACATATACATCATATATACACACACACACACACACACACACGCACATATATAAATATTCACACATATATATATACACACACATTTATACATGTACATATACTGCACATACTTATTTATGTGAATGTTGTTTCCCCTGAATAAAATCTAAGCCTCTTGAGGGTGAGAACTATTTCACCGTTGTCTTTGTAGCACAATCCCTGGTGTTAAAAAATGTTTACTGATTGAAAAATGGCCTAACACATGTGAAAACACCAGAGTGCAATAAATGCTTACTCCCTCAGCCCTATCTATGAAAAGTCCAGAAAATGAGAATCTACTCGGTCTTTCTAAGTTCATCGCACTTTGTATTTTTTGCCTTCCTAGCCTCTCACAAGAACCTTCCAAAAGAGAAAAACACTCCATTGCCTGCTCAGAACAGATACTCCACTGCTTCCCAAAGACAAGGAAGGACAGAAATACAATTCTACTCTTCTTCTACTTAACAACTGACTTCTACTTACTATTTACCATTTACTTCTAAAAGATGTTCTATTCTACGTTCCAACTTGCAGGCGGAGTTAAAGCGAAACGAGTTGTCAAAATTTCAAGCATCCATTTCATAAATCCGGCAGAGATCACTCCATGGAATAGATTATGAATGCCTTTTAACAGGTTCCTACATGGACAACCATATTTTGTAAACAAAGAACATCTAAAATGAACATATTTTCTTAATACTTCAAAATAAGTAATAGCCCTAAATTATAATCCAATCATTTCTAGTAAGGTACAAGATAGAAAGAAAGAGACAAGCAATGTTTCATTCTAACTTTTCATATTGGGCTTCAATTTAATCTGTGAAATGAGGAATGAGACTAAATAATCCTAAAATCCTTTCCAACTTTAAATCTTAAGACCTAGACAAAGAGAGAATTCATTAAGGAAGTTTCATAGGTATTTCCCATGGTAGCACTTAAACAACAGAACTGTGCCTTCCCTTATCATAACAATCATAGTATTCAGGGGAGATGCTGAAGTGAATTTTCCAAAAGAAAGGTGATCGTGGCACTTGTAACAGAAAGTTAGTCAATAAATTTATTATGCAATATTAAGTGCCAGGCACTACGCTAGACAGAGTGTAGGTAGCAGAGATACCAAGAAAGGCTAAGATACAGTCCATGTCCTCAAGGAAGATGAATCAGAAGAGCTGGGTTTGAGAAGTTACAGCCCTGCTACTTATTAGTTATGTAACCTTAGTCCTTAACCTCAGTGAGCCTTGGTTTCTTCATTTGCAAAACTGGGTCAATAATACTTGTACTTCTTATGTCACAGAGTTATTGGGAAAATCAAATGTGATAACATAAAGTGTTAAGGACTTTTTAACATGTTAAATAAATGTAAGCTTGGTGGCACAGTGGATACAGTCAGGAGTACCTGAGTTCAAATCTGGCCTCAGACACTTGATACTTACTAGCTGTGTGACCCTGGGTAAGTCACTTGACCCTGATTGCCTCACCAAAAAAAGCAAAAAAAAAAATAAAAAATAAACGTAAGCTACATTAAGTATTATTATTACTGAAGGCATCTGCTTATCCAACAGCCTACCTTGTCCCTGATTCTACAGATGCCATTCATTCCCACTACATAAGTGAAAAACAGGGGGACTCCTTTAATCCCACCCAGACAAATAGATGCTGTTTACCACCAACATATTAGTTCAGTTCCCCCTTTTGTAAGTAGGTAGACCAGACACGTTTTTCAAAGATTTATTTGTAAGAAGGTAACTTGGGAAACCTGTTTCTCTTTCAATGCTGTTGAATGAAACTAAGCAGTAAAATTTCCCTAGCCAAACTGTAAACATGTAAAGAGTATCAATAACAAGAAGTAGTGAAACATGTATTAGAAACAAAAAAGGTAATAAATGTCACTATGCAAGGCAAATAAACATTTCACAAGTATTGTGTTACCTGATTTCCCTTCAATATTCTAAACATTCCTACTACTCCACAAAGAATGTAAAGTAAAATTAGCATAAGAAGATCATCTTAGACAGTGAACAAGATAGTGAAATATAATAATAAACAAATGCAAAGGACTTTCACAATTTGTTCAACTACCCTACATTTATAACAAACACCTACACTTACACATTTCTAACTAAGCAACTTGTTCTCACTCTAAATTCTTAAAAAGTCAAGTAGTTAATTTAGATTTTACCAAATAAAAAAGATGTTAAAATTAATAATGTTTCTTGGTTTATTTTAAGGAGTAAATGTAGTTGGTTTTCTTTATTTAAACAGCCATGGCCTGTGAAGTTGATTTTTTGGCACCCAACTACAAGACCTCACATCTATTCCTACTACATTTTATCTTAAGAGATTCCAACCCAATACTCTGGCCTGTCAAGATCCTTTTGGATCTTATCACTGCCATTCAATGTGACAGCTATCGCGACTAGCTTAGCGTCATCTGTAAATTCGATGAGAATACCAATTATGCCCTAATTCAAGTCATTGAGGAAAATATTAAATAACACAGAGCCAAGCACAGATCCCTGGAATACTGTACTGAAAATCTCCTTTCGGGCACTGAACCATTAACAACTACTCCTTTGAGTCAAGAGATCCGACAAATTCTGAATCCATCTGATTGTGTAATCCATTCCATTCAATATCTTTCCTTTCTCCACAAGAATAGTATGATACTGTATCAAAAACTTTAGATGAAATCTAGATAAACTATATCCACAGAATTTTCATCTACTAGATTAGTAATCCTGTCAAAATGGAAATTAGTTTAGTCTTCCACATCTTATTCTTGATGAAGCCATGATGGCTCTTTGTAATCACTAATTGGTTCCCTTTCTAGATATTTACCAACTAATTTCTTTAATGATGTATTCTAAAATCTTCACAAGAATTGAAGTCAAGTTTATTGGCCTATAGTCTGCAAACTCCTTTACAGTAAAATACCCATTTATGCAATATGCTTCAGTTAAACTTGCACTGAGCTAGGGCACAGAGATGAAGGCAAAAAGTTACACAGACAGTTCTCACTTCAGGTAAATCTGACTTTGGAAAGAATTCTAAAGAAGTCCACATTCCAAAAAAACACCTATGTAAACTTTACAGTACTGCACTCTCTCTGCCCTTCCTGCCCCTTCACTTAGTACTCTGTAGCCTCCAATGCCCACCACCACAAAAAAAAAAAAAAAAACCACCTTCCAAGTGAAAGAAGGAGAGACCCCACTGCCCTGCCGATTAGTGGACTGGCTTGAGACCTTTGTTAGTCCACCCAATATTGTATCCCTGAGTGCCTGTCCTCCACCCTTCCCTGTATGTCGGCCCCTGCCCTGGGCATATCCCATCTTCTCCTGTCTGTGTCCATGTCACCACTCAGCTAATCCACATATTCTTCCTCCTGCTCTCAACTTCTCTGTTAGCAGCCCACAGACCCAAGTGGCCCCTTCCTGCCTCCCTCCCCTCCCCACTCAGGTAGTAAAACCACATTAGGTTAAAAATTGCTTTATGTAGAGGTCTGTGGAAAGGTCCACTTAAGTAAAGCATGAACTGTCTACACTATTTCCATGGTCAAAGGTCATTTCAGGGCTAACTATAAAGCTGATGTGGGCCTTGCAAATGAAAAGGGAAGGGAGTACTAACTACTGCTCACAGAAATCAGATAAAAGCTACCCAATGGAAAGACCAAATCATCATAAGCTGTTCCAAACTGACTGACTTATAAGGCCCATGTTGGCCACAAAAGTAAGCCCACTTACACCATGCCACATGAAGGCCATGAAAAGTAGAAGGATAAGGGGAAAGAAAGACATGTGCTGAATCACTGAAACATCACGCAGAGCCCAGGGGAGTGTACTTATGTCACAATCCAGCAAAGGGAATGGTAGGCAATCCTCTAGAAAGAGGAAAAGAATAACTAGTCCCTCTCCAGGGTACCACAAAGGTGTCTTTGAAATGAAAATTTCATTCAGCTCAACTAATAATAATAATAATAATAATTAACAACTGGTGTTTACATCGCACTTTAAGGTTTCCAAAGTGCTCACAGGTTTAAAACTAGAAGGGATCTAAAAGGTCTAGTCCAACCCTATCCTTTAACAGATGGACAAATGGAAATTATTGACTTGTCTAAAGTCACAAGGTGGTAGAAAGTGGAGCCAGGATTACACGATCTCATCAGAGCTTCACAACAACCCTGGGGACTGCGCGAAATACACAGACCCTTGGCCTCTTTCAGCCTAATTTCTACATCCATAAAATGGGAATAACTTGCATTTGTTGAGCACTTTAAGATTTGTAACTCGTTTTACATCTAATCTCTCATTTGCTTCTCACAATAACCCTGTGATGGATGTGATAGTCTTATTATATATATTTTATATATATATATATGGTATTATTGCCTGGGGTCAACCCAGCTAGTGTCAGAGGCGGGATTCGAACCCTGACTCCAGGTCCAGCGTTCAATGCCCTCTGAGCCACGCTCCTTCCCCATACAGGTTTCGCCAGTCACACTTGGTGAGGGCCTGAGGCTGGACAGGCCTAAAAGGAAGACGAGGTATGGGCCTGGTGGGTTCAGTCTGACGGGAAATATCGCGCGGGGGTGGGGAGGGGGGAAAGGAGGCGTCTGGGCGGGCTGGGGGCTCTCTCAGGAGAAGAGGCGGCACCCTCCGGCCACCTTCCTGCCGTCACCTGTTCTTTCTGGTCCCCACCGCCCGCAACCGAGTCCCACACCGAGTACCTGCGACTACAGCCCGACAGACGCAGACACCGGCTACAACGCGCGCGCAGAGCACACTCCCTGAGCGCGCCCCCGCCCTCAACGCGCAGCGCCGTCCGGGGACGCGCGCGCGCCCGCAGCAGCCCGCCCTCAAGCCTGGCGACGTGCGCGCTCCCGAATAGCGAAAAATCATGGAGGTTAGGGAGTGGGTAGTCAAGTGGGCGCCTGAAAGTTCCCCTCCCCCACCCCACTTTCTACTCTCTGATAACCAAATAACCAGATAAACTCGAAGAGGGCTGGAAATGTGAGGAAGGAACGGACTTAGGGGAGGAAACCCTCACGGAAGAGAAATGGAACAGCTGGAGGACTAATTTACGTCAGGCACTTGGAAAGATGCCCGCCAGTGTCTGGGGGCTGGGGGGGCGGGGGGAGGAGGAGGGAAAGGCCCTCGTCTCGTCGTCTGGGAAGGGAGGGACGCGGTGTACCTAACTCAAAGGTGGAGGGCAAAGGGCAAAGTTCAGGGCGAATCCGCTGGCCTGACCTGTGCTCGCTATGGCGGCCTGCGCGGCGGGGCTACGACCAGACTCTGCAGTGGTGGTGGTGGGCTCCTGCATGACCGACTTGGTCAGGTTAGTGCCGGGGGATGCCACTGACAGGGAGCCCGCCGGCGGCCTGGGGCGGCGTGGAGCCGGGAGAGAAGGCTAGGGCGGGAGGGCCGAGAGGAATCCAAAATGAGGCCCGAGGACCATCTCCAGTTGTCCTCATGGACCCAGATGGCCCCGGAGGAGAGAGTGAGGCTGGTGACTTTGCACAGGCCTCCCTCACTTAAATCCAGTTCTCTTGCAAGTCACGACATCACCTTCTTGATGTCGAGGTCCTCTTCGAAAAGGAAGGACAAACAATAACAGAATGAGGCCCAGAGAGGTGAAGTGACCCACTAGAGTCCTACATCCAGTTAGGGGCAGAGTCAAGATTGGAACCTGAACCCAGGTCCTCAGACTCCCAATCCAGCACCCTTTCCCTTGCAGCACCCTGCCTTCAATGGGCACATAATAGGCCCTTACTAAATTGTTGATTGATTGATTCTGCCATGAAGATGAAGAAATGCAAAGATGCTTTTACACCATTAATATAAATAACACCTGCCAGCATTTCTGGAGCTGTGGCTTCAGCTAACTATGGTGGGGGCCCTCTGTGATTTCATGTACGAAAACCTTTATCATGTGTTAACTCTTCAGGGAAATGGAAATACCAAAAGAAAAATAGGCTTTGATTTTCAGGAGCCGACATTTTAGGAGGGAAAGGTGGACAGGATAAAGAGGGAGAAAACATGTACATAGCATCATAGGTGTAGAGCCTTCAAAGTCCTCTAGTTCAAACCTCCCTCCTTATCCAGATGAGGAAATGGAATCCCAGAAAGATTAATTGGCCTAAAGTCACACATGTAATTAATACCTAAAAGTGCCTAGATCCTTTGACTAGGTGCCCCACTGCCTCTCAAGAGAAAATAACCTAAAAATAAGTGTGATGGGGGACAGGATTTAATATCTTTGGAGCATACATTTAGAACTGGAAAAGAGACCTTTGAGATCATCCAATACAATCCACATAAAGAAACTTCTTATCTCCATAAGAAACTTCTTTAACCGCATTGGACTGGATGAGCTTTAAGGCCCTAAGAGCTTACCTGGAAAAGAATTTTTACAGGTAAACACTAAGGTGGTCATTGGCAAAGTTGGAAACATGAACAAGTCTTTGACAGAACTTTAGCTTGATTTAATACAATTCAACCATCATTTCTTAATGCATGGCGTTATACTAGAATTTGGAAATACAATGAAAAAAACTAGCCTCAAAGAGCTTACAGTCTACTAAATGTATATGGGATATGTACAGAGATTTCAACCTAGAAAATGCATGACCAATTTAGGCTTAAGTTTTCTTTTTCTTTTCTTTTTTTTTTTTAGACTTAATTTTCTTATCTGTAAAATAGGGAGGTTAAACTATATGACCCATAATGTTCCTTCTAGCTATAAATCTATATTCTCAGTTTAATGCGAAGTAATGAGTGATTAAGGCAAAGGAGTGATTCGGGGGAAGTACTCTGGGAAAACTTGGAGAAAGAAAGATCACCTTTCATTTGGGGAGATGAAGGTAGCCTTCAAAAGACTGGCAACAGCTGGCTGATCCTTGAAGGAATAAGTTTCAGTTCCAGAGATGAGGAAGTACATTACTGGCATGAATACCCTGCGTGGAAACAACATGTGAGGAGATAGCTAATAGCTCAGTTTAGCTATAACTTAAGAATATAAAAGAAAAAAGGCTGAAAAGAGAAGTTGGAGCTTTGGAGGGATCCATAGTAAGTTCTTCCTTTATAGTATGTGAACTAAAAATGAGAGAGGCCCAAGCAAAAATTCATGGGATCCTTGAGTTGAAAGAAATCAGAACCTCAGAGTTAAAGGGACCTTAAAATATAACTCAAACTCTACCCAAATCATGAATCCCATCTATTGACTCTTCCAGCCACTGTTTAAATACAAGTGATGTTGAGTTCATTCCCCCACTTAATGATTAGAAGATTTTTAATTATATCCATAAGAGTTGCTTCTAGAGTTGGGCAGTCTTTCACATATATAAAGACTTTTCACATCTCACCTTGCCCCCTTCACCCCAACACTTCTCCAGGATAAACGTCACTAGTTCCTTCCAACAGCATGGTTTCAAATCTCCTTCACCATCCTTCTGTCTCTCTGTTTTGTCAATATCATCATATTAATTTTAGGTCATGTGGATTCTGTAGTATTTTGTATTTGCAGTGAATATTTCAGTCTTGTTAGCGCAATAACTCTGGAAGTTACGGCTAAGACCTCATCTATCAGTTCCACTGACTTGAAATATCTATCTGGGATACAGCAGAGAACTTGAACTAAGGTTGCTTGGGAGCCCAGTGATTCTTAAATGATCCCTACCTGACCTATCGTCCAAGTCAGTTGTTTCTGGTACCAGATGGCTTATGTTCTTTTTTAAAAAATCTTTTGATTTTATTCTAATATTTCTTGCCGTTTCATGAAATCATTGATTTCTCTTTCATATCTTCTAATTTTCTAATTTTACTTGGATGAGGTGAACCACTTTCTTTTCCAAACCATTTATTCTCTTTCCAATTCTTTTCTCAAGAATTTCAATTTCTTATCTGTGCCTGCAGTGTTTACAGAATCACTTGTTCCTAGAGCTGCACTAATTTTTATACCAGTCACTGTCTTCTTTGATTTACTCATCTCTCTAGCTTTAATTCCTAAAATGGGTAAGGCCAAGCTCCTCCTCCTGCTATGATTTTGAGTGGGGTGGTGGCTCCTGTTTGGTCTTGCCCTGAGTCACCTAAATTTTTGCATTTATCTCTACCTATTGGCCCTAAATCTTTGAGGTTCAGAGTGATGGGACTGAGGAACCTTTATGGCACCTCAGTACAGACTACTATGGACCTTGGAGCCCCTAGACTTGAGCACTTTTGTACCCTAATGCTGATTGGAGCTCTTCAGGGCCCTGGAGTTTTCTGACTACCTTGTAGATTTCTAGTTTCCCTGGTGCTTTTTGAAGAGAACCTTCTACTCCTGCTCCCTCATGATGCAGACCCCTGCAGGTTACCAGATTTTCAAGCCCATCATAGGCTCACTGAGAGCCTACAGACTTATTTGCCTGGACTGGCATTTTTTTTGCCAATGCGCGCCTAGCTGATTGGGGGAGAAAAGGGAGAAGGGGTAAAATTCTGGGTAGAAGTCACTCACTGTAGTTTCTTGTTGACTTTCTTAATCATTTTTTGATCTGTGCATGAGGTCTTTGCTGGAGTAGCTATGTTGGAACTGGGCTAAATGCCTTCTATTGAAGCACCTGTGTTGGCTGGAAGTTTCCTAACTTTATAATTTAAAAGGAAAGAAACTTACTCAAAAATCAAGTACAGAAAAAATGTAAATCAGATAATATACAACAGTGTATTTTATTAACACTTCTATTGAAGTTATAAAATATATGGAATTACAACATTTCAGATTTTTCCTTTATCATCATAGTTGTATCATTCTTATTTGTGTATATGTCTTATTAGACAGCTAGGTGATCCAGAGGATAGAGTGCCCGACCTGGAGTCAGGAAGACTCATCTTCCTGAGATCAAATCCTGCATCAGACCCTTACTACCTGTGTGACCTTGGGCAAGTCACTTAACTCTGTTTGCCTCAGTTCGTCATCTGTAAAATGAGCTGGAGAAGAAAATGGCAAACCACTCCAGTATCTTTGCTAAGAAAACCCCAAATGGGGTCACAAAGAGTCAGACTGGACTGAAAAATGACTGAACAACAACAATTTTCTTATTCCCATTTCAAACTGTAAATTCCATGAAGAGAGTGGCTAAATTTTTGCTTCCATTCCCAGAAATTTAAACATGGTAAATACTTAGTGAATGTTTGTCAAATAAACAGAAGGTTAACTCTCTATTTGATAGGTGGATGGTGCAGTGGATAGAGCTTGGGGCCTGGAGTCAGGAAGACCTGAGTTCAAATCCAACCTCAGACACTAGCTGTTTGACTCTGGGTCAGTCCTTTAACTCCTGTCCACCTCACTTTCCCCAAATGTAAAAAATGGGGATAATAATACTCAATCTGTAGTGTATCTGATAACTAAATAAGTCTAAGGTAAGGCTCAGGTAATTATTATGGGAAATTTGGGCTTAGGTACAGCATTCCCATTACTGTTCTCTTTATTATACCTCATGCTGCTTACTCAGTCACTGTTTTCAAAGACTGTGCCCACACTTTGGAGTTTCCTTATATGTAAAACCTTACATGTAGAACCCCCATTTTAAGTACTTCAATAACAAAACCACTTTGACTAGAGTTCAAGATCAATTCTACTTTGAATGGAATTTTAATAATTGAATTGATGATTGATGTTCCCTTTTAGAATGTGTTCTCAGTGTTCTACATTTCCTTTTTCATTTCTAATTAATGTGGTCAATAAGTAGTAGTCCCAGCGGTAGTCTTGCAGATTTTAGCTGAGTAGTCATGGTCATTTGTGGCACTGACTATGCCTCACCTTTGCAGATAGTTTTCAAAACTCAGGAGACCTATTAACATTATGGTCTTCATTGATCCTACCAATTTTTACCAGTGTCAACCTCCTCACATCTAAATTCCACCTCCCCAGGGTTATGCATGCATGCATACATACATACATAACGTACACACGCGCACATACACATGCACACACAAACAAGCATGTATGTGTATTTAACTCTGGTCTCACTTTTGCGCTTCAGTCTAGCATTATCAACTACCTTTTGCACATCTCCAACTGTATTTCATATAGGCATGTCAAACTCAACATGTCTAAAATGAAGTTTTACCCCAAAAATCACCCCTCTTCATTATTGACCTATTCCTTTTGAGAGCACTTTGATCTTTCTCATCATTGGCTTAAAACCACAGAATCATCCTTAACTATACATTTTCCTTCACTTTCCATATTCCAGTTGGTTACCAAATTGGGATAATTCTACTTCCAAAACATTTCTTATATATGACTACTTCTTTCCAGTCATACCACAAGCACCCTAGTTCTGACCCTCATAATCTTCC